TTCTGAATTGTTGGCAAAAAAACAAAATCTGTTTGCCACCGCATTAACATGGTAAACTAGTTTTAGACATTTAACCGTCAGTTTGTCCGTCTGCTATGCGCATGTGTGTGCGTGCTTGTTTTCATATCGGTTAACAAAACCTTTTTTCCCATTGGGACGAGATGAAAAGACGGCCTACATAAATACGCTTGAGTTGGCATTGTTAAGGATCCTTTTGTCTTCGTGTATTCCTGCCGCTTTTTGCATTGTTGCTGTTGTTGTAGTTTTAGGATGGTGAGGGGTCATTGACATATTGGGCATCTAATTGTTGTTATTGTTGTCTTTCGTCTTCATGGATTCCTATTAGCCATTTGCAAAGATGTTTTTATGAGTGATTGTGATAAATGTTGTTGGACTACTGTTTTTGCTGGAGGGTTGGGGGGAAGTGTTGAAAAATTTGGGGATGATTTGTGGAAGGGGGAAATTTCGATCACATTCTTAAGAAAGAGAAAATCAAATTTGGGCTTAGAGAAAAATGAAAATCCTCGCCTTATGTGGCCTCTGGAAAACAATTCTTTTAAGGGGACCCCCCCCCCCACATTCTCGGGTTCAAATTTTTTGTTGATTTAATTCCAATCTACACTAATTCAAGAATGTCCCTACAAAATTTCAAGTAAAAATCTCGAGAAATCTTGAAGATATAGCCGATTAATTGTGTCAGCATCAAGTGACGGCTGAAGGGCATCTCAAACTTTAAACGCGTTTTCCTCTAAACATTGTTTTGCGAATGGCGGGCACGATAACTCAAAAACTATTAACCCAATCGATTCCAAATTTTTACACGTTTCTCTGGGTGTGTATAGCTATCGTATGAACTAGGATGAAGCCAATCGGTGAAGATCTTCTTTATTTTTTAAATTGGTTTTTGGTCAAAAATCGGCGATTTTTCAAAAATATTTTTTCAAAGGTCCGCCATTTTATTAATTTTAGACCGAAGTCAATAATCCTAGTTCATACGAGAGCCAGAAATGTTCTCTTTCTAACACCGTTGGAATTTTTGTATTCCGATGTTCCAGTTAGGAGTTATCATGCCCGCCATCAAAAATAAGGACTTTTTTAATTACAAAAAAACAACAACAAAATAATAACATAATTTTTTTGTAAATTATTTTTCTTCTATTTTAAATCTTCAAATATATATATGCAAAGTTACAATACTTAACAAGCATTGGTATTGATTTACCAGCTCATTGAAAATCTTGAAAAATTAAAATCGTGAATAGGGGGAGGGGGGTTCCCTTAAAAATCCTCGCCTAATGTGGCCTCTGGAAAAGAATTAATTTAAAAAACCTGCCTCGCCGTGGCATCTGTAAAAGAATTCTTTTAAAAATCCACGCCTAATGTGGGGTCTAGAAAAGTATTATTTTAATAATCCACGCCTTATGTGGGGTCTAGAAAAGTATTATTTTAATAATCCACGCCTTATGTGGGCCTCTCGGAAAATATTCTTTTAAAAATCCACGCCTTATGTGGGCCTCTCGGAAAATATTCTTTTAAAAATCCACGCCTTATGTGTGCCTCTCGGAAAATATTCTTTTAAACATCCACGCCTTATGTGGGCCTCTCGGAAAATATTCTTTTAAAAATCCACGCCTTATGTGGGCCTCTCGGAAAATATTCTTTTAAAAATCCACGCCTTATGTGGGCCTCTCGGAAAATATTCTTTTAAAAATCCACGCCTTATGTGGGCCTCTCGGAAAATATTCTTTTAAAAATCCACGCCTTATGTGGGCCTCTCGGAAAATATTCTTTTAAAAATCCACGCCTTATGTGGGCCTCTCGGAAAATATTCTTTTAAAAATCCACGCCTTATGTGTGCCTCTCGGAAAATATTCTTTTAAAAATCCACGCCTTATGTGGGCCTCTCGGAAAATATTCTTTTAAAAATCCACGCCTTATGTGGGCCTCTCGGAAAATATTCTTTTAAAAATCCACGCCTTATGTGGGCCTCTCGGAAAATATTCTTTTAAAAATCCACGCCTTATGTGGGCCTCTCGGAAAATATTCTTTTAAAAATCCACGCCTTATGTGGGCCTCTCGGAAAATATTTTTTTAAAAATCCACGCCTTATGTGTGCCTCTCGGAAAATATTCTTTTAAAAATCCACGCCTTATGTGGGCCTCTCGGAAAATATTCTTTTAAAAATCCACGCCTTATGTGGGCCTCTCGGAAAATATTCTTTTAAAAATCCACGCCTTATGTGGGCCTCTCGGAAAATATTCTTTTAAAAATCCACGCCTTATGTGGGCCTCTCGGAAAATATTCTTTTAAAAATCCACGCCTTATGTGGGCCTCTCGGAAAATATTCTTTTAAAAATCCACGCCTTATGTGGGCCTCTCGGAAAATATTCTTTTAAAAATCCACGCCTTATGTGGGCCTCTCGGAAAATATTCTTTTAAAAATCCACGCCTTATGTGTGCCTCTCGGAAAATATTCTTTTAAAAATCCACGCCTTATGTGGGCCTCTCGGAAAATATTCTTTTAAAAATCCACGCCTTATGTGGGCCTCTCGGAAAATATTCTTTTAAAAATCCACGCCTTTTGTGGGCCTCTCGGAAAATATTCTTTTAAAAATCCACGCCTTATGTGGGCCTCTCGGAAAATATTCTTTTAAAAATCCACGCCTTATGTGGGCCTCTCGGAAAATATTCTTTTAAAAATCCACGGCAAAAAATCCACGGCCTCTGGAAAACAATTCTTTTAAAAATCCACGGCCTCTGGAAAACAATTCTTTTAAAAATCCATGCCAAAAAATCCACGGCCTCGGGAAAAAAATTCTTTTAAAAATCCACTCCAAAAAATTCACGGCCTCTGGAAAAAAATTCTTTTAAAAATCCACGGCCTCTGGAAAAAAATTATTTTAAAAATCCACGCCTAAAAATCCACGGCCTCTGGAAAACAATTCTTTTAAGAACCCACGCCTAAAAATCCACGGCCTCTGGAAAACAATTATTTTAAAAATCCACGGCCTCTGGAAAACAATTGTTTTAAAAATCCACACCTAAAAATCCTCGGCCTCTGAAAAACAATTCTTTTAAAAATCCACGGCCTCTGGAAAACAATTCTTTTAAGAACCCACGCCTAAAAATCCACGGCCTCTGGAAAACAATTCTTTTAAAAATCCACGGCCTCTGAAAAACAATTATTTTAAAAATCCAAGCCTAAAGTGTCCTCTCGGAAAATATTCTTTTAAAAATCCACGCCATAGGTGGGCCTCTCGGAAAATATTCTTTTAAAAATCCACGCCTAATGTGGCCTCTGGAAAACAATTATTTTAAAAATCCACGCCAAAAAATCCACGGCCTCTGGAAAACAATTCTTTTAAGAACCCACGCCTAAAAATCCACGGCCTCTGGAAAACAATTATTTTAAAAATCCACGGCCTCTGGAAAACAATTCTTTTAAAAATCCACACCTAAAAATCCACGGCCTCTGGAAAAAAAATCTTTTAAAAATCCACGCCTAAAAATCCACGGCCTCTGGAAAACAATTATTTTAAAAATCCACGCCTAAAAATCCACGGCCTCTGGAAAACAATTCTTTTAAAAATCCACGGCCTCTGGAAAACAATTCTTTTAAGAACCCACGCCTAAAAATCCACGGCCTCTGGAAAACAATTCTTTTAAAAATCCACGGCCTCTGAAAAACAATTATTTTAAAAATCCAAGCCTAAAGTGTCCTCTCGGAAAATATTCTTTTAAAAATCCACGCCATAGGTGGGCCTCTCGGAAAATATTCTTTTAAAAATCCACGCCTAATGTGGCCTCTGGAAAACAATTCTTTTAAAAATCCTCGCCTAATGCGGCCTCTGGAAAATAATTCTTTTAAAAATCCTCGCCTAATGCGGCCTCTGGAAAATAATTCTTTTAAAAATCCACGCCTAATGTGGGCCTCTAGATAAACTTATTCTTTTAAAAATTCCACTCCTTATGTGGGCCTCTAGAAAAATATTCTTTTAAAAATCCAGGCCTTATTGGCAACTTGATTTTTTTTTTTTTTTTGTAATTTTTCAGATTTTTTTTATTATTTATTATTTAAACAAAACTTCATGGTAAATAATAATAATAATATTTGGTTTGTTCTAGTTTCTGTACTTGAGCTATATGTTATAATAAACATATATGTGTATGTATATATGTGTGTGTGTGAAGAAAATGAAAGAAAAATGGAATAATAAAAATAACTTATAACTAAAAAATTTATATATAAAAAATTTTAAATTAAAAATTAATATTAAACTACATAACTTTGGCACCCTTAAATTATATATTAATGAATAATATAGAAAATTAACGAGAATGAGAAAATAGACAAAAAATATTTACATATAACTTAAATAATTAGATATTTATATGGCAAGAGGAATTATGGGATACAAGGATCAATGGATCCTAAATAAAAAAAAAACAATTACAAAATTCAGCCTAGACTTCATTTTACATTTTTTTGTTTCAAGTTTTCCTTAAATTATTAAAAAAGCAAAGTATAAAAAAACTTAACATTTTACTTTCATTTTGATGGCTTGTTTTCTCCAAGGCCTTTTTGTTTGTGTACATGAGTTTGCTGTTTATTTCATTTTAAAACTAATTGTAAAAAAGGGGAAAAAAATAAAAATAATTTGAGGATTTGAGGCAAGTTACAAAAAGAAAATTATTCACAGATAAAAATATTCCGTTTTTTGGGCAAGTTTTTCTTTTTTGGTATTCATTAAAAATTAATAATAATCTCTTTTGTTTTTTGGAATTCATTTTTGGGATTTTCTTTCCATTTCCATTAACGATTATTACGAACAAATATATATAGGTATGTATGTATGTCTTTTTTTGTATAAAAATCACAAGTAAAGTTTTTTTGTAAATGGCACTTAATTTTGTTTTTTGTTGATGTTGCTGTTGTTGTCTTTTTTGTTCAGTTTTGGATTTCCCCATTTTCTATTCGGGGTTGGTATTTGTTTCCTTCTTCACTTTGCCTCCCTTGGCGGGGTGGAGACATTTAAACTGCTACAGCCCGAAGGTGATGATGAGCCTGTGGTCCCACCAGCTGTTGCCACCACTGCCGCACCGGCACCACTACTGTTCATTTGTGTCTGCACCAGCAACATGAGAATTTTATTCATTAAATTATCCGCCTCCGAATCTTCCATGCTATTGAGCTTGGCCGATATGAAACCACAGAATTTCGAGTTTAAAACTTCACGCACTGTCTGGGGCTGGGCCATTATATCGCCCATTAAACCGTTATGCGTTAGACCATTGGCCATATTCTGGGCCCGCAAATGACGATGTTGCTGCAGCATTTGTCCATCGTAGTCATCCGGATCCTGGTCATCGTCATCGTCGTCAGCATCGTTGTTATCCTCCTCACCGGTGCTATTCAAATGTTTACGTCTGCGTTTCAGTGGTGGCATGCCACCACCATTGCTACCCACCACTCCTCCACTGGTGCTGGGCGAATGATGGGAATTCAATATCAGTGGATAGGGGAAGTCGGCATCGATGGCTTCCAGTTCTTCTACCTCATCGGAGCCTTGATTACTAAGGGCACCGCCTGCTGTCTCCTCATCACCACTACGCACTGAGGAGTTATCCAAATCATCGTAAGTATTGTTCTGACCATTCGAGGAGGAATCATTGCGAGTCGAGGAGACACGACTATCATTATGCAATAGTTGGTGTTGTTGCAATTGGTTGCCTGAGTGTTGTTGTGTGCTGCCGTTGTTGTTCGAGTGTGTTGCATTGTTGTGTTGATGGGCTGGTGGGGCTCCATGGAATGTTGCTCCCAAAGCTGCTGCCAATTGTTGTTGTTGCTGTACAACCACATTGGGATTTGTATTTTGATTAGACAAATCCAATTCGGATTTTACGTTATAATAGTAATCATCGCCAGCGCTCATATTCAGATTCGATGAACATTTCGAGAGATTCAATGCGGAATCATTAAAGGATGAATGCATTGAATTCAATTTGTAATTGCTTTTGTTGTTGTTATTGTTGTTGTGGTTATTATTGTTATTGGCCGCCGCAGCATTGGAGATATGTTGAGCCAAGGCGGTAAGATTGAGACCCAAGGGGCCACTGTGCTCCAGAGCATGTGAACCACCTCTGTAAAGAAAAAGAAGAAAAAACAAATTGGAAATAATTAGAAAAATTTTGAACAGTTTTTATTTAAGTGGCTTAAATTTGGAAATTAATTTTGTTTGAATTTTTTTATGTTAAAAAAAATATTTATAAAAAATCATTGTTTTAAATATATGAAATAGATGAAAAAATTTGGAAATTTGGGCCACAAAATGTGTTTTCTTCATTTTTGAATCCAAAAATCCAAAACAAATTCAAATTTTTGTTCGGAAGTCCTATAAGAAATTGTGTTCCTTTTAAGGACATGTCTCTTTCAAACTCCTAAGTACCTGAGAGCTTAGGTAGTTTGTTTATTCATTTATGGCCTAAATAATCTCAGCCACCGCCACAGCCGGCTTTTCCGCTATCCAAATCTACATACAGGATGGAAGAATTATTTTCTTATTGTTGAAAATCCATCCAAAGGCAAAGCAGGCAAATCTTTGAGTTTAAAAATAGTTCACACACACAAAACATGTTCTTTCGAGGCACATCTGCCAAACAAATGTTTGTTTGGCATTGCTGAAATAAGAGCTCTTGAGAACAGCCAACAACATACATTTGTCATTCTCTTTGGTCTGGTCTACAACAAAAATACACCGAGACGCGGCAAGCGAACATATGTGTGTGTTCAGAACACAAATGTGTGTGCTCCTTAAAGCGCATGCGTGCCTTTCAAAAGATTTTGGGGCTCCAGGTTTCAGAGTGTGTGTGTCTGTCTTTATGGCTTTCTTTTTCCCCGGTTTAAATATGGATACAAAAGAAAATCTCATGTAATTTGATATTTATACCAAAAATGAAGAAGAAAACAAAGATGTGTCTGCTTTGCTAGTACCCTCGATTTAAGCAAAGAGCAATTAAAGGAACTACATATTTGTGTAGGATGGATTTTTTTTTGTTTTTAATGAATGAATGCAAGCAGCCGGGCAGCAGACATGCGTGAATGAATAAATGTGTGTGTGTTTGAGGGGTGGGTGTTTTCGTTTCGTTCTACCATAATAATTCATGGAAAAAATGCATGAAATTTAGTTTTATTGTTACATTTCCTTTAAGATGGGTCAAATGCAATTGACATTTTTTCCATTTATGGCTTCGCATATGCATATTACAGAGATTGAAATTGAAGTAAAATTTCTAAAAATACCACGTTGTGGTAAGGATTTGTCAAGGAAATTTAAAAAACTACATTATTATAAGACTTCAATAAGAAAATAAGGGATGAATGGTAATTTTGTGCGTGATTTTTATAACATTTGTGAAAAATTCACATTGACTTCGTTAGTGGAGATCCAAATTTTATTGGCTAGAATTTCTTGGAATATCATATACATTACCTTTCCATAGAAAAATTTCTAATTTTGAGGTTAACAAAAAAGTGGAGACTTTTGAAAAAAATTCATAATGACCCAAAATTATTATTTTTTATTGCAAAATATGTTTCTGGTATTTTGCAAAGTTTTTCATTATAAATGTGATATTAAGGCAAGAGAAAATAAAAAAATATTTTACAATTTTATTGAAAATACTCTATGATTTTGTTAGTGGAGACTTGCATTTTATTGGCTGGAAGTTCTTGGAACATCGTAGACATTATATTTCCGCAGAAAAATGTTTCATTTTGAACTTAATAAAAAAGTGGAGACTTTTGAAAAATTTAATAATTACTCCAAAAATATAAATTTTTAATGCAAAAGTTGTTTCTGGTTTTTTGCAATTATTTTTTTATTATAAATATGTATTCAGGCAGCAGAACATTTTGAAAAAAAATAATATTGGATTTTTTGTATATAAATTTTTTAAATATTCCTTATGATTTTCTTAGTGGAGACCCATATTTTATTAGCTAGAAATTCTTAGAACATCGCACACTTTATATTTCCAAAGAAAATTTTAAAATTTAAAGCTTAACAAAAAAGTGGAGACTTTTGAAAATTTTCATAATAACCCAAAAAATGTTGTTTTTTATTGCAAGTTTCGTTTTTAATAATTTCAAAAGTTTTTTTATTAGTATTATATTATGGTAGCAGTATTATATTATGGTAGCAGAAATTTTTGAAAAAAAAACATTTTTAATTTTTAAGTTTTCTTATAAATTTTTGAAATATTCTTTATGATTTTCTAAGTGGAGACTCAGATTTTATTAGCTAGAATCTCTTAGAACATCATAAACATTATACTTTCAAAGAAAAATTTCAAATTTTAAGCATAACATAAAAGTGGAGACTTTTGAAAATTTGCATAATGAGCCAAAAAATATTATTTTTATTGCAAAATTGGTTTTTTTGCAAAGTATTTTTTTATTATAAATGTCATATTCTGGCAGCAGAAAACTTTGAAAAAAAATATTTTAATTTAAAAGTTGTTTACTTATAAATTTTTTTGAAAATTCTCTATGATTTTGTTAGCGGATACCCAGATTTTTTGAGCTAAATTAATTTATAATATCTTTGACAATATAATATCGAAGAAAAAATATTTATTTTTGCTATATATTAAAAATTTAATTATTTTATCTATTTGCTATAAAAATATTCAAAATTACATATAAATTATTTGATTTTTTTTTTTGCAAAATTTTGAAAAAAATTAAAATAATTGTTTTTAAGTTTTTTCATACAAATTTTTTGAAAAATTTCTATGATTTTGTTTGTGGAGACCCAATTTTTTCCAGGTATGTTTAATAGTATCTATGGCAATATAAAGTCATGAATGTATTTTTATTTAAATTAATTGTGAAATTATTATCGTTTCTGTTGAAACCCCTATTGAAACAAGCCTTGGCCCTCTGCCGGGTCTTATCATCTCAATATTTCACAATAAACGTTTTTCGCAATGCTTCATTATTTAAATCCAAGCCATTCAAGAGCATTTTCACTTTTAAACCCTTCCCCAATTGTCAACAACACAACAACAACAACAAAATGACTTATGAGTCATGACACAGGGTAGATTTTCTTAACAAAGGCCCGATTTACTGGCAGTACGTGGACTTGCTGGATGTTGTTGTCAGAGAGAGTGAACGCGTTTTTTGTATTGAACAACAACAAAAACAAGAATAATCGTATCAAAAAAATTGTATTATAATATGTACATATATTTCCATATTGTTTTATTCTACCAGGCTTTTTAGTAGTAGTTGTTGTTGTTATTGTGAGATTCATTGGTTGGTATTATTGTGTTTTTTGTTTTTAATTATTTAAACAAAGTCTTGAGTTGAGGTTCACTATATATATATATATATATATATGTAGACAAGCGATCATAACTAATACCAATATCAAGACATTGTATTATTTTCACATAGTGCGCTCGAGCTGGTTGGCTGTTGCCACTCACTCGCTCGGCTCAGCACCCAAACAATCAGAATTTTTAATGATAAGAAAAAAAGGAGGTTTAAAAGAAACGCTGCCTGCCATACACCCATAAATATGTATGTAAGTATGTGTGTGTGCGTCTGTATAGGAAAACAAATGAAGTATAAACTGCATTTTTATGGACGACGGGATGTGTGGACTGATGTGACGCCTTTAGCTACACCACTAGCTGGACGTTGATATACTTCATATTTTGTTGTGGTTTCGATATAAATAAATACCACCACCAACAACAACAATACACAATATTGGTCAACATTGAAAAGGGAACGGTTGTTGTGAAAAAAAAAATCCAACAACCAAACAAAAAAAATTGGTGATAACATACAACCACCACCAACACCCCATATTGCCTGCCCGACTGCATTCAAAGATTGTTTGTTTGGCTTTGAAAACAAAACAAAAAAATGTGTAAGAAATTCTTAGAACTGGAATACAGCAAATGTTTGAAATGATAAGGATTTTCATAATTATTATTTTATGATAGTATTTTTCCTTTATACAAAATGCATGATGGAAATTTTAGAAGAAATTTACGGCAATGGGGGGAATCACCGGACAAGTCTCCAAAAACTAATACAAAAATAAATAAAATTTTTTATTAGATAAAAAAATTATACTAAAAAAATCTTGTTGAAATATTTAAAATTGCTAAATGAAATTAAAAAAAATGAAAAGAATAATATTTATTAAATTCATATATATTTTTTACTCAAATTATTTTTTATTAAAATATTTTTATTTAATAAAAAAAATAAATTTTGAGCATTTTTTCTATTTTTTATTTTCAGAAAATTTTAATTTTCTGTTAATATTTCGAATTCCATTTTCAAAATTGTAAAAATCTCATGTTTTGAAATCTCTACACAAGTCTCCACTTTTTTATTTTTAGTTAAAATGGAAAATTTTTGAAGGCATTTTAAAGCTGATTCGATAACAATGCAAATTTTCATGAAAAAATCAAGTCTCCACTAACAAGAAAAGTTAAATTTTTACCAAAATTTTGAGCACTTTTTCTAATTTTTTATGTTTAGAAAATGTTAATTTTCTACTAATACTTCGAATTCCATTTTCAAAATTGTAAAAATCTCATATTTTGAAAACTCTACACAAGTCTCCAATTTTTTATTTTTAGTAAAAATGGAAAATTTTTGAAGGCATTTGAAAGCTGATTCGATTACAATGCAAATTTACTTGAAAAAATCGGGTCTCCACTAACAAGAAAAGTTACAATTTTACAAAAGAAAATTAAAAATTATTTAAAAAAATATAAATAAATTAAAAAGTCCCAATTGCAAAATAAGTTAAAATGTTGGAAACCTTTAAACAAATATTTAAAACAATTAAGATTTTATGTAATATTTGTCTCTTAATGCTCTTCTTTATTAATTTCCCTCAGATTAAAATTTTAAAATAAGTAAATTCCGTATTTAAATCAATTAGACGATTACCTATCTTAAGCTTCAGCTATTATACAGTTTGCCGATCATGATGATGCTGACACAGAAACCTTGATTTAAATGTTTTTTTTTTTTGCTGTTGTTGTTGTTGTTTTTGCTGTTTCTGTTCTGGCTTAATCAAATCCAACATCAAGCGTCAAATAACAACAAA